AGGTCCTTTGAGCGTTTTGCCACCAGCAGAAGCCCGGGCTGGCTTTAAGCTAAAAGGACAAGCACTGTGGTGCTCAGATCTTATCTCCCCTGTCCTGTTTGCGTTGAAGGCTGGACAAAAGGCAGCAATTTCCTAAAGGCAAGGCAGCCAGGGTGGCTCTCCTGAAAGAATGAGGAAGCTGCTGGGCTCAGCGAGGGCTGTGAAACCTGCTGATGTACCAAACCCACCTGCAGGAGCAAATGCTGGTTTTCTGGTCGGCTGATCAGTTGGATTCACCGGAGGAATTCAAGGTAACCCCTTTTAAAACTTCCAGGGGAAGAAATCTTGGGGATGCATCTGCATCCATTGCTGGAGCCCACGTGATAGCTGGGAAGACAGCCCTGGGAGCGCATGTCTTAACTCTTTTTTGTTTTGTTAGCAATTAATGACATGCAGGAATTTTTATTTTTTTTTCCTTATTCACCAAGATTTGGAGATTTGGCATTTGCCTGCCCAGGCATTTAACTCCCAGCTCTTCACCTCATCCATAGGACCTCAAGCACTCAGAAATGCAAAATTATTCCCATATGGGATTATTTCTTTCCGCTTTCAACTCCAATATTTCGAAACAGTAATAAATAGACCCAGCAAGTATCTGAAAATACCAGTACAAAGTGTTGGGTTTCTGAGTGGGAGGACACACGCTACTCTGCTGGGTCCACGTGAGCGCTCACCTTGAATCCTTTAGTCACAAGGGGGAGAACGGAGAGCCTTGAGGACACGTTGCTCATGGGGTTTGGGTTTGAAATTAAGGATCGGAATGACCTGAGACCCAGCCAGCCATGAGACTTGTCCCCAGGTGTGCCACCAACTGATGGCACGTCCAGCTGTGGTCAAGAATCCACATACAGATCCAGCTTGGGAAACCCAGAAGGGAGCAGTGAGTTTGGGGGGCCTGGAGGTATTATTTTCCCCGAGAAATGAGACTGCCTTAAAATTACCCGGAGAATCAGTGGCTGGTTGGGGCTAGATGCGCATCGGGGAATGGTCTCTGCTCCTCCTGGCTTGTGGGGCACGACGAGTGGGAAGGGCAGATGGGTGGCAAGAGCCAAGGGGTGTCTTGGATCAGCTGCTCACGCTCACAAGTGAGATACCTGTTCCCGGGGAACCTACTGGTGCCGTATGCCCTCTGAGGTCGTTGCTCTGTGTGCTTGTGAGGGCTTTGGGGGTTGTTTTTCCTTTGTTCAGCAAGTGGAACGCTCCTCCATCCCTCCATCCTGCGGGCTGAGCTGCTCATGGGATGTTCCCTAGCCAGTGTCGGCGT